GGTAGGCCGCCTCTATGTGATAAACAATTGGCAACCAAACGGTGGCTCGCTAAAGCGATATATTATGAAATTAAATTAATCACTCAATAAGTTTTAACGTTAGATTGTTTCCTCGATATGGCCATGGTGGTCATCAGTGACTGGAGTGCCTCAAATGTTTAGAATAATTAAAATAAAATAAATGTTGTCAACTAAAAATTTTGAACGTCATAGCTAGCTAGACATTATTTTCAATTGAAAAAAAAAATTATAAAGCATAATACTATAATCCTATGCTTAAAATGTATTTTCTTGTGGCCGCCTGACAGCAACCTGTAAATCTGGCGTGACAGTGAACGTGTTAATAAGTAAATGTTGTTCAAATTATGTCGTGTTTTATGTCATTTTCATCAGAAAAATCTCATCAATATATTAAGAAAAATTTCGGGATAAAAAAACAAAATTAAAAAAGTTGATGTGTAAATCGGTTTGTTGCCTCGACTCACGTTTCATGCTTATCTTTTATTCGCTGTGCTTGGCTACGTTCGGCAAAGGCGTGCGCGAGGCTCGAAAACGTAGTCTCTGACTCTACGAGTGTCAGGTTTAGCTTCCTTGCGGTCTGACACTTGTGGAGAATATACTGTACTATGAATTTAAAGTACCATTAGAAATAAAGTCCGTCGTTAAAAAAAGAATTTGTATTGCAATACGAGTTTTCAGAAGTGAGAATTTTTGTTCTATTCATATTGAAAATAAAAAAAATGGTCCCGCTTAAGTAACCATTTCCTTCAATTGGCACATCAGAAATGAGGTTCGTAATAGACAAATTTCAAGCTGGAATTTTGATCAAAAGATAGTTTTCCAGAAGTGAGAAGTCTTTTTCCTAATCATATTGAAAATAAAAAACAATTAGCATAATAAAAGAATTGAAGCTGGAATAACGGAATTTTTCCTAAATGAGAATTTTATTTCTCTATTCATATTGCAAAATGAACTCAACACTTTTCCGTCGTTCGACTTATCTACGATTTCATCTCTTCCCTATCTCTGGCAAATTGGTTGGCGTTATCGCATGAATTAAAGCCGGGTGCACACTTTCCAGATATTATATTCGACAATTCGAAACGTGGCTGTCGCTTGCATGCGCGACGTTATCCCTGACGATCTCTGTGGATGGCGGTTCCGTTGAGTCAAGGGGAAAGGAATTAAACGCATCTCGCCACCCCCCGCAGTGGGTGCTGCATTCCATCAGCTTGGCAATCCTGCTCGCCTGGATGCAAATGATGCTGTTAGTCGGCCGTCTCCCAATGTGCGGATATTACGCGCTCATGTTCTCCACAGTGCTGAAGAACATTCTGAAGGTCAGTCGACTCCCTCCCGCTCTTAACTCCGCGCAATAATAATCGTTCCACGGAGCGTGCATGCGTGACGATCGAATCAGACGACGGGAGAAGGAAGAAAGGAGAAAGTAACGAGGCCCCGTTGAAGGAAAGGAAGAGCTCTCCCAATTTCCCTCGTTAGAGCGCGTCGAGTCGCGGTTAAACGGACGCGAATAAAAGGCAGACAGGTTCGACACCGTAAGAACACCGTTTTTTCTTCTTCTTCTTCTCTCCGCGGAACGCCGTTAACCCTGATTTAATGCCGAGGGGAGACGTCTGTGTGACGGAGGAAAGGAAAGGATAAGAGAGCGACGAGCTCTTCCCTTCGGCGAATATCGTTAGAAATGAAAAGCAAAGGGTGTGTACGCGCGTGTGAGAGAGAGGAGGCAAGAAGAGGCGAGGTTCTAAATGACTGGTCGGTGATACGGCTCCCATCAGGACCCACTTGCCTACCCCTACTTCGCCCGGTATCCCTGCCACCCTCTCCCGCGATTATAACAACGTGCATCTGGGGCTTTTTATTTCCTTTCAGGTTCTCCTAGCGTTCGTCTGCCTGATTGTCGGATTCGCGTTCAGCTTCGCCGTTTTGTTCCACGGGAACGACCAGTTTCGCAATTCCTGGAGGGCCGTCGTGAAGACCGTGGTAATGATGATGGGTGAGTACGAGTACGGGGCTCTGTTCTCGGACGAGAAGAATGGCAGCTCCTTCCTACAAGCCACGAGCAGGGTCGTGTTCCTTGCTTTCGTCATGCTCGCTAGTATCGTCCTGATGCACCTGATGATCGGCCTCGCGGTCAATGACATCCAAGGCCTCGAGAAGGAGGTACGGACACTCTTTGCTCGCCTATCCCCGATATCCGTTTCTGGGTATTAGAAATACAGGCGAAACGTCTTAATTCCGTTCACGATCCAGCCTTACCTCGGCTACGGCACGAAAGTTTGCGGGCGCGACGTAGTAGGCCCGCCGTGCTCGACCCGTTTCTTTGAAAATTACCGACTCGATTACCATTTAACTCGTGGAATTCATGTGCGAAATATTGATAGTCGGCAATTGAAAATTACGGAAATGCAAAGATAGTAGGACCACCGTAATCGACCCATTTCTCTGGAAAATAGTCGTTCAAAAATGGAGCGAGGCATTCCACGAGTCGTTTAACTCGCGAAATTCAATGAAAAATTAAAAACTGCCCCTAATTCGGAAAGAACGCGAAACTCGACAGATCTTTCCACGAAAATTTCTCGCAAAGTTCACGTGCGTTGATACACCCTGTACATCCACGTTACTCTCATATAAGAATAAATACACGAGCGGGAGCAACTGCGTGAATTCAGGGCCACATTCGCCAATTGCTGAAGCAGGCCGAGTTCGTGGGTCATTTAGAAAGGCTGACATCACACCGAATCTTTCGCGGCAATTGGCTACATCCTCGGCTGGGCACGCTGCTAGACTCGAGGCGCAGCATTCCCACAAAAATTACGTTCGGCTATCACGAACGTTATTTCCATGAATCATCCCCGAGCGTGCCGACGCGTCTCCGCGAGGCGCTCTTCCTCCTCGCCACGGGAAACTCGCGCGGCTGTGAAAGGTAGGCAAACTGGTGGTGCAACGGGCGAGGGAAAAACTTCGGTCCCGCCACTTTATGCTTTAATTAATAATTCCGCCGTAACGACCCCCAACTTGGAGCGGCTTAAAGAAAAGTGGTCTTTTTCAGCGACGTAACGAGTGACAAGCCCGAAAGCTGCAACAACAACAACGACGACAACGGCAACAGGGAGTTAACTGCGCTGCTCGAGGAGGTGTTGCTGCAATTAAGGATGTCCTATTATCCGAGCAGCGCGGGGCGAAACTTTGTGAAATCCTTTAACGCGCGAAATCGAACGATTCAAAGGAAAAGTAGCAATTTCTGAAAGGAATAAGACATTTTTCCGTCATTGTTGAGATGTTAATAAAAATTGTTGCAACATTTTGCGTTGTTTATTGTTTCGCGTGTGCGTGGGTGTGAATGAGCAGACGTGCGGAGTGACGAGGGTCGATACAGTAGGAGACTTCTGTTATCGACACAGTACGACGAAGATTTCATTAAATATCGATCCCAGCACAGATGTCTCTGCGATACCATTTCATCTTCGCGAAGTAGTGACGTCCCTGGAGCGCGTGCAAGCAGGATCGCGGTGCGTTGTAAGTAGATCTGTTAATTAATTAAAATATCGATTAATATTTGAAATTCGTCTGAAACGTGTGTAGTTAGGCTTATTTGATCGGAATCTATTGTTGCTTGTTAAATATTTATCGTTTTTACTGAAATTTTTGCAAAATCTCGAGAGATTCTCAAGTAACACTACGGTCACGAACGTTCGAACGAATAATCAAAGCAACGAACGCTATTATATTGTACAATAATTAATTACGTTTACGTCAGCGTGAAAATGCGTTGTTATGTTTCAATTAAAACGATAATTAAGCACAATTTTACCGAAAATATGCTGTTTACCGTGTTGCGCGTCACTCTCGACCGTAGTCGAACTTGTAGAATCGTGAATACACGTAGAAGTTATGCATATACGTGTAGAATTGGGCATATGAACGTTAAAAATACCGTTATACGTATTTTACAACGTAATTTGTTACTTCTGTAACGGTTTTGATACGTTAAACTCGAAATATGACAAACTACGGTAACAGATACGATTGCGTTGAGAATCTCTCGAATAGTTTTACACAAAAGAGACGAGAAATGGCGGGAAATTAGTTGAAGTTCAAATAGGCACGCGAAGCTGGTACACGCATCACGTGCACGTTTCAACGACACGATTCTAAATATTTTTCGTCGCGCACCGAATTTTCTTAAACGCCTGCTTTGTACATATATATACGTATATTAGAACGTGCGAACATATTTCTCGAACTACGTAGTGCGCCGTATGGCAAGTACGTTGGCAGGACTACCTACTCGATTTCGTACGCATCGATGGTTACGGCTCGTTCGAAGTTCGGTGAATCCCTTATCTTTATTTTTCTCCTCTTTTAACGACGCCTTTTTTTCCTTTCTTTTCCACAGCTAGTTGACTTTCCGAGAGTGTGCGGCGCGAGCGTGATTCATGCGGTGCAGCTAAAAGTGTCGGACAACTTCGTGCGGGTCGGATAATCGCAATTTGTTGATAAGATTTATGCGGCCGGTAGGAAATTTACAAGCACGTTAATCCAGGAACACGTGAACGCGAGTCGTGTTCGTTGTCCGGCGAATAATTAACGCGAAGCTTAACAAAGGTACGTAGCAGTGATTCTGACATTTGAGGTTATTAATACCGACATAATGCTCGCGTGTAAATAATCGCGAACGATCGAGCGTATTATTTCGAGCGGGATATGATATTTTTACCGGGATTCATCCCGGCTTACCTCATTGTGCTCGTAATCACAACCGTGTTGGACATACCACGTCAACCGATCTATCTGAAATTTATTACGCCGGGCATTTCGATATATGTACACATATATAAGGTGAGAATCGCCGTACACGCACGTGACTCGTGTTCTTTGTGTCCCTATGCAACGGAGAGATGGCAGGATAGTCAGCTTTGTTACCGGCTAATAAGGGTACCCGTGTTTTCGTTCAGATTTTAATTAAATACGGAAATCGGATAGGACAGTGGCGAGCGCATACATTACCATAAATTATCGTTCACCCGCGGCTATAAAGAAATCACGCGCGCACCTGCCTTAACGGTTGTAACAGGCCCGGGACGAAAGGCGTATTTCGCGACCGGTACGTGGCTCTTATTATCGCGAGGAAACGGTATCAAATGCGGAATCATTTTGTTAAATTCTGGGCTCGCGCCGAAGCGACGAATAAGAGAGAGAGAAAGAGAGAGAGAGAGAAGTAAAGGCGTCACCGAGCTGGATAAAAAGGTTACTTTAACAGGATGCATAATTTATAGGGTCGACTTTGAAACGGGCAACGGACATCGGCGAAAAATTCACAAACGAGTTTCCTCGATTCCAGAAGTATTTCCAAGTAGAGACGGACGGGGTATCGTGTACGGGAATTTTGCGCCTCGCATGAAGTCGTTCACCAGCGACTCTGTCGGAAACTTGCTCGGTGCTCGTCTTCAATTATGATAAATTATGGTTTCCAAGGTTGGAGGTTCCACCTCGCACGGCATATAAATTCGGTGTAACACCAAGTGTGTACGTTGCCCCCTCCTTCTCCCGCCTCGTGTAGATTAATTAACAGACGGGTAGATATTCGCCGTCCAGATACGATCGAGAAACGGCTGCCTACTTAGCTGTGTATATAATAAAATCGTCGGCATAATTAAAAAAAAAAAAAAAAGTACAGCGGTTTCGTCGGACAACGTCGTCAGCCCTCGACGGCGGCGGGAAGGAAAGTAGCATGCGGCGTGGGTTCGAGTGGAGAAAAAAGCACGACGGTGAATCGGATGATCACAAATGGAACTTAATAGAAGATAAACGTTTTGCTTATTGTTTGTTAGAATATAAAA